CACATGAGCCACATATAGCCCTTCCACCCACCCCTTGAAATTCTACCAAGCGTCTGGACTTACCTCGTGCCTCTTAGCCAAGGCCCTTTTGGTATCCCCCCTCCTCGCCGCCCCTCCTCCGTCCCTCTTCGACAAACTTTCATCCCGCAAATGTCTCCATTCGGCTACGGTTCCTTTCTGCTCTGTTTTAGGAATACACGGGGACCCCACTACCCCTAAACTGTCTTCAGCCCCGTTGGTTATCGCACGCCGTACTAAGTAAATATACTCCTTACGATCCGGAGATGGTTGTGTGGTGCCATCTTGAAAAAAAAAAGTAGTCTCGAAATAGAAACAAAAAAATTTCGATCGGCAGTCGAAAAAGTAAATATTACCATAGGTAACCGTGTACCGATTCTGAATCTTGTTAATTAACCAGTCTAATTAGGTAATACAAGCCGGACGTTATTAGATACGTTTAGTTGTACCATAGTGGGTTAATGATCATTGACATTTGCATGTATCTTTTTACTTTGATAGCTATGACGACAAGTATATATATATATATATATATATACACATACACTCCCGTTGGAATCTACTCGACTTCCAGTTGCATGTGAGTCGATCGTTACTGTCGTTCAGCTTGTGTAGCAGGGCAGTCGTGGAGCAGGGTATTTTTTTCACAGAGGGTTGCTCTCTCGAGAAGTACGTGGTCTTGGGTCACGCCAGGGATAGCCTAGTGTTCTGCCTGTTAAGTGTCCGTCGTATTCAGAGGCGTAAGTGCACAAGTGCGTGACCGAGTCTCCCTGCGTGCGAGCTACGAATAAAATGGGAAGGTTAGGTTAGGTAGAGGACAGGCACGAGCATGGCACCTGTTTCAAGGTGTAGTAGCCGGGCGTGGGAGCAAAAGTGGAAACTGGTTTGGAGGGTAATCTGCTGTTCAAGATTATGCGTCTGTGCGCGTAGTATACTTTTGTATATATATGTATATAGAGATACAAGCACTGAAAAAAAAAGAGGCTCAACCATGTCCCCGGAATGAATCGCTTTATTGGCGAGTTCATTATGCGCGGATCTTACGTGCGCGCTAAATTTAAACGATAAGGAATGGACAGGGGCCGGGAGATGCGTGGGAACAAAATTTGCGCTACCCGGTAGTCGTGTTTTTTTTTTTGTTTTTACCATGAGACGTTCTCGATACCTCGGACCGGAAGTTACGTCTGAAATTTTATTGACGCCATAGCGGGTGCACGAATTTAATATAACTTTTGACTTTCGAACGAATTCTTGCGATTGGTGGCTGTGGGCAATTTCTTTGGAAACTATACCGGCGTGTCGAAGGGGTACCGAGTTTTGAGAACAGCGTGTATATGTATATGCTCGGGGCGACCGCTTGGGTAAGATCGGCCGACTTTAACGGGTCAACCGGAAACCGGATACGGGACCAACCTCGTTTACCTTCTCGCGACGGCTTACGTACCGTGATCTGTTGTACTTTCACGCGAAGTAGGGAAAGGTGTGTTTTGTGTAAAGATCGTTAATTTAGGCTAAAGTTTAACTGTCGTCGATTACGAAGTAACGGCAGGGAGCGATGTAGGAAATCGCCAAAGACGTGCTCGTAAGTTGCATTGACTAGGAAAAAAAAAAAAAAAAAATAATAATAATAATAAAAATGCGAAAAAAATTTCTATACCCCTTTCGAAAAATTTATACGTCAGTTTAAAAAACGGGCCCTTGTCCAAAATTGCTGAGCCGTGTCAGTCGCCAGGGAATCCAGCAGGGTCTTCCACGTAAACGGAAATCAGTGTACACAAGGAGACCGCGAGGGTACCGGAAGTCTAGCGACCGGACCAAGCAGGTGATCCGAATTCAGTCCGGAGGAAGTGACGTGGGTCACCTTACAATTCTCTTCCTTAGCCTCGATCGAATTTTCTCTCTCGCTCTCTCATCAATTTACATCTTCTCGCGCTCTCTTTCGTTTCTCTCTCTCTCTCTCTCCCTCTCGTTCATCCCCTCCCATGTTTCCTTGTCTTTTTCCTTCGTCGTTTTCTCCTTCTTCTCTCTCTCTCTCTCGCTCTCTCTCTCGCTCTCTCTCCAACAATATTATCGGTGCTCGCTGGCTTCAGGGAGTACATCAACTTCCTAGTTATAATAAATGCCGCAAAAAATACAGCAAAAACCTGCTCAGCCTCTGGCCTCTCTCCCCCTTTAACACCCAACCACCAAGGAACTCGTCCTACTCACTTGGCTTCTCTATCCGTTCCTCCACACCTCCGTCCAGCCTCGACAATAACGCAGTCACAAACCAGTACACCTGCAAGATCATCAAGAGAATTTGCTTCCCCTCGACCCAGGTCCTCCCGTCAGCCACCGGTAGCCTCTTCTTCATCCTCCCTGTCTCCATCGGCTTGGGCCTACTACTCTCTCTGCCTACGCTCCGAACCCCGTTTCTTATTACTACCATGTATATCCTGCTATCCTCCGGCGCACGGATGCGTCTCTGTTCCCTTGGTAAGATGCTATCCCGTGCGGTGGACGTGGGTTGCCGAACGCCCCAAGGAAAAGGACGGAGAGCAGAGAGTGGAAACGCGATAGACGTAGATCGACTCGGAGTCGCTTTTACTCAATGGCGTAAGAGAGCCGGGAAACTGAATGGGCGAGCCTGTCGCTCGCGTGCGAACGCTGCCCGAAAGTCTGCTGGCTCATAAGGGGCCGCGGAGGATATTTTCACGTAAACTGAGCTAAGGTCGCGCCCGACTGCTGAGCTCTGACGAAACCTCCCGACTATAGCTATACTCTTTTGCTCTCTCTCTCTCTCTCTCTCGCACGCGCAGTCTCTACCCCGAATGAAAGCCCCGACCCGCTATTTGCCGCTTCTCTATTTTCATCCGCGACCGAGTAAAACCCATAGTACACGTATCGCTTAGGGTCTAGAGAACGCTGGAGCGCTTGGCAGGGTTAACGGGAATTACTTTTAGGTTATGTCGGGAAACACGAGGAGGCGCATACCTGCGATCGTTGGTTACGAAAATTATTGATCGTATTAGAATTTCGAGCGATTCGCTCGTTTTCAATGAACCGCAAAATTCGCCTAACGGAAACTGTGATATACAAAGGGCTGAAATTTTGATAAAAACTACGGCCGGAGCTCCATAGTCTACCTCGGCGCCTAGAGCCGAAGACTGGTGCACGGGTATGCCGACCGCTATTTTCCTAGATCGCCAGCGGGCATGGACTTTCTGCTGCGAGATCGTCGAAACGACCGATCGAGCGAAGTAAAGACTTCGTGATCGAGCCGCCGGGACGAGGACGGACTTAGATGAGTTTATGAATGGAGCTGGGATTCTGTTATGAGACCAGTCCGAAAGGCCTGGACGTGCGTGCGCTTCATCCTCTCATGAAAGTTCTTTGGAGCCAGTCGCTTCATTCAACATGGAATTATAGGTTGGTCGCATTTGGCCTTAAGTCAATTCGCCTCGGTAATTTGTCGGTACGGTGAAACTCCTTAAAAAGAAACCGGTATCAGATCATCTAGATATATATATACATACAAAGCTCAGAGACCAATCCCCGTGTCCAGATTCAGTCTGCTTGCTCCATTTCGTTAGACCTGGCAGCCTCCTCTCGTTACAACAAACCAGAGTCAAGGAGGGTAATTGGCTATCCCGAGCCATGGAACTTCCTTAAGAGGCATTCGATCCGGGTCGATCGATCGGGGTATCCATTCTCGATTAATAGGTAGAAAAATCAATGCCTCACCGGTCAACGTGACGGTCACGGATATTTAGCTAAGATTCGAGACGCGCGAGCTGCTCCACGCTCCGATGATCTCGGCCAGAACGGCGATCGGCATGAAGATCATCGACGATCATCGACGTGTCTCCTAGCTGCGCCGGGAGCCTATTCGAGCCCTGGTCCGGACCCTGGCTGTCGCACGATCGGGGATCGGTATCTGAATCCGGTCCGGTAAACCAGCCAGGAAAGTGCATGGCTACGAGGCATGAATGATCCCCAATTCCCAGTGAGTAGTCTCGATATAGGTGTGCGGGGTGCGCATGCGCGCGCGCATGCAGCAGCCAGCGTGCATTCACGTATCCGACACACGTGGTCACAGGGATCCGGGGGGCCACGGTGGACGACGCCACTGCAACTCGGCCGAGGGGCCCGTCGAGAGAGTATTCATTCATAAAACTAACTCTGGAGTGAGGCCAAGTGGCGCGTGGTGGGGGGATGAGGCTGGGTGGTGGGAGGCGGGAGGGGGGGG